ATTACAAGTATTAATATATAATTTTGTTTAAGATAGGAGAAACATTAAAAAATATCTCCCATAGCGTAACATGGCTTAGTGAATTTCAAAAGTAGCTTTTCAAATTCAACGATTTTTTTATAAACTTAAGATAGAATATTCCTGATAAAGAAGAAAACCAGATAAATGCTGCAACAGGATGACTGGCAGCACAAAAAGTAAGAGAAGAGCTTTAAAAGATACAAACCCAACGTAAATTTCAATGTGTCCACAAAGTTACCCTCTATAATGCTGACATAGAATGGTGCTTATTCGAAAGATACTCATCCGTAACGATGAAATCAATGATTCTGCATAATTATGTAACACGATAATACATGAATCCGAATCGAAATTACAACACAGTTTAAATTAGGCAAATTTTCCACAAGTTATGTCTGTACTTCTCGTTTAACTACCACTTATCCGGCATTTATATACCTGGTCCTTTTTCCTCTATTTTAACTAACAGTTCTAAAAGTCAAAAAAATTGCAATATGCCTATATTTTTCTAATTGTTTTTTTTTTTCTGGAATGCGTACAACACTGCAATAATATATTATGCTAATATGTCTTAACTTGGATTGTTAAACAAAAGCAACTATTTATGGATTAGAATGTCAGGATAGGAATACATCTTGTGTGCACGATGCTTTATAAAAATTTAAAGACCAAAGTAAATGTAATACTTATGCTGCAATTACCAGCGATTCTGAGTGGAGATGAAATGTAGGGGATACAAATAAATCTCATTAATTGAAGAGCTTTAGGAGAAACCGAACAAAATTACGTCCATCACCAGATAATCCAAAAGTTCCTACTTACAAAAGTTATCAGCACTCAGTGATTAGCGAGGACAGCGAATTCCAAAACAATGAAACCCATCAAGCGAATGCAGTGCATATGTTCGATTGCAAAATCAAGATATTCGCATGAGCTTTAGGACAAATGCTTTATGAAGGAAAAGATATATGCCGATAATGACTAGTTAACTAAAGTTTCAGGAGTGGTCAAAAGGTTTTTAGGGAACTCCTTAAGATTCCTCTTAAGAGACACCACATTCAGAATAAACTCACATTTCGTAAGAACTGGAGACAGGTAAAATCTCAAAAGGAACAGATGGAATAAATAAAGCAACAGTCCTTAATAAGAACCAGTCCCAAATGGAATTTTTAGCATTCTTTATTCTGCTTGATTCATTTTTATTACTAATCCAAATTTGTTATTATTGCTCTTCCTCATCATCTTTGCAGTATACAACTGCATGTCTAAAACTTTTGAAAGCTAACAGTTACTTTAAACATTGAGTGCATTGGGTGTATGTGTATTTATATATATGTGAATGTGTGTGTATGTTGTTGTTCATCGATAGACAATTGTTGAAAAGCTCGAACTGAAGATGTTGGACAAACATTCAACGACAACATTTGAAAAATAAGAAAGCAGTAGTCTGACTGACTTATGTAACTGGGAAGTTGTATGCAAGTAAACATTCTGCAATGTATATTTCAGTGTGACGACCCACTACTAGCAACAACGAACCAGATGAGTGACGATTCTTTTATGAATTAAATGCTACTATGCTGCCAACAAAGTTTAAATCCTTTTCATTGTCCATTTCTCTTCACATTCCACAAGACCTCACGTGTAAAAATAACAACTGAGATGTCTCTACCTTAACCGCCTCTCCCTTCCCATGTAGCAGTTAATGAAATAAATGCTACTATTTTGCCATAGAAGGGTAAATTGTTAGATCCTTATTTGAAGGAACTAGATTACGTAAACAACTAACAACAAAAAGAACCATTTGCATAATCAGCCACGTCGGCCCAAGTGACGGAAAGGCGGCCATTATTGCTTGCTGATGTAGACATTGCTGGATAACTTGAAACAAAACTTTTTGGCAATATAAAGCTATATTTACTGGGATATTTCTTTAGAGTAGGAGAAACTGTTTTCTTGTTAACACTGATGAAATTTTGTTAACACTAATGAAGTTATATTATTAAAACAGATGAAATGGGAGTACATAGTTCCGTGAAGATGTAGAAAATAAATGCTGTCGAATAGGTTGCACTAGCAATAACAGGATGACAGCTGAAGGGAAGTGGGAAAGGAGCTAGAAGAAAAACAACACAAAACTTTATTGATCACACTTTCAAAGAAAAAAGTTTTTTGGTTCCCCGTATTAGTGGAATGAATAGATAGATGATAGTTAAGACGTTAGTCAACAGTAATGTGGTAGGATGATGAAAGGTTGCTGTATTTCACGAAATAATAACCTACGGCAAAAGACAGAATGAAATGGATATAGCACAACAGCAACTATACACAGACGCCGTATTATGAAGTGAGAACACTAAACAATTTTATTCGGTTGAAGGATGAGATGGAAATCCGGCTAACTGAACTCTAAAATTTCTAGATGAGATGGCATGTATCGTTATAATTTCATACAGCAAACAGTAGAACAAAAATGAACCCATTAATTTTGAAATGAGTAAAAAATGGATATGACGATGATCTCAGCAGGAGTGAATAAAAAAACAATGAGAAAGCTTTATTTGATTACAGACAGTTCAGCTAATACACTTTTACTTAATTGCCAAAGATAGGATATAGTGTAAAACAGGGTATCTGCTTTTTGATTTTTAAGGCGCAATGAATGGAATATTTACTGTCGAATCCAGATGGTGTCTGAAGACGTTGAGGATATTTGTCGCAAATTTAGGGAAATTGGAAATAAATGTTAGGAAAAATTTATTCGGCAGTATATATGAAGGGAATACATAGAAATTATTAACAACAATAATGATATTGATACCACTGTCGAATGTCTTGAATTTGCTGCGGTAGGTATTAAAAAAAACTGTTCAATGTTATGGGCATACAATGAACGCATTACGCGTTTGAAATTCCAAATTATTAAATTATTTTGCCAAGAGAGAATCGATACATCGGTTAAATGAGTTCTATAAATCATAAGTACATGCAGCTCCAGATATTGAATGTAACCTGCGTGGGTCTCGACCCTAGTTTAAAAAATCCTCGTGCGAAGAACGAAGAAACAGGGAAGAAATTTACGTCGATCATTTTTAAGCAAAGCGAAAATTATTTGAGCACAAGCTTTATCGGTCAAGATGTAAAATGAACATGTGATATGGACATGTAGAAGTTCAGCACTGCGATCCAACCGATAATAATGGAATAGTTAAAGGAAGAGCATCCCAGCATATAAAAGAAATAGTTAGCTAATTTAAGATATTAAATGACTGCGAAAGTGGATTATATAAGAAACGATTCATGTCGTAAAGTGTGAATACGATTCCGAGAGCATTATTAATAAAGAGCTTAATAGCTTTCGCTTTAATGAAAATTATTTCCTTGAAATCAAGAAGATATAAAAAATCTTATGCACAAAAAGAATGATTAGCGCAACTCACCGAGATCTTCCATTGTTCAGCAGATTTTTACGGCAAATGTTCAAGTGCGCAGGACAACTCAAAATATAATCGAATTGAATACGGTCTCATCCGACTTTTGTTCATCTCCAGCTCTCCTGTAGATACATAATGATGTTAGCACTATAACCATATAAGCTTTCTCTCAATTCAATTCATTAAACCATTTTCCAATCAAAGCAGGTTGATTCATTTTCCAGGGAGCACTGTGCGACGAAAGAATGTAGGAAATTTATTAAGAATCTCGAACACAAATAACTTTTTTGCAAGTTAGAGCACGTCATGAAATAAGCTTCGTAAAGGCAATCTCATCTTCAGCACATTGCTTTCAACGCTTGGAAGACACCAACGCACAGTGATGACCCGCACACGATTAGTATATCAAATTAAAAGTGTGGAAATGTTTTCACTCGGAAAGAATCATTTACACAATGTACGGAAACAACTCCTTTAGAGTCTCGACCATCGTTCAGAAATGTCTAATGTCCATAAATTGCCATGCGACATGGAAGGAAGTACAATATAGCTTTGGAAATACAAGAGTTGAAAAAAGGATGACATATAACGCAATGAGATGAAGAATGGTGTCCCAGTGCGTGTATAGCAATCTTCATGCTAGCAATCATTCCATTGGCTCATATCAAAGTTACGTGGCAGGAAGAGTAGAGTGGCCTAGTCTACGCTTGCAACTCTATCAAAGATTTGACTACTATGTAAAACAAACAACATTAATGATCAGAAATGTTCATCTTCCAACTGCTTCAAACATCATTGCAACCCTGCATTAAAATAGTAAACTACATCGATGACATTGGCAACCTTCTGTTTATAACTGAGGATGGCACAGCATTATACAACATGTACTCAGTAAATAGCTAGTAAATAGCGGTTACGGTGACAATTGTGAAAAGACTAAAAAAACTGTGTGAAAACACTGAAAAGACTATTTTTTAACAACTGGGATGACAGGTTTTTTTGCGCAATTACTGCTACAGTCAAAAACTAGAGACAAACTCCAGCAATCGCACCTAGCTAGTCTTCTATAAGGTTACGTCTTCTATAAGGCACCCTCTAAATGAGTCTTTCTTTTCCAGTGGATTTATAAGTACTAATGGCTTACATGGAAATAGAAGAAGTGCTATTTGATAAATGCTACCAAAGTCAATGAGATTTCAATTTTTTCTAACTTCCATACTGCTATTTGGAAATTTTCACTGAGCAAATGACATAGCGTATTATATAGCAGAAGAGGAACTACAAAACCTGAACCCATTTTTAGAATGACAGTATAGCTGCGTAATCTTCATGGAGTAAGAAATTCCCTTCTAAATAAAATGCATTTCGCGAAATACATAGCAATACTTGATGATAACTTTAAAACCATGCCAAAGCCGACAGTAATATCACAAACAGGTTGGTGGAAGTTATTTACTCAAGTTAATACAGCAGACAACAGTTGAACATTTTTTTCCAAAAAAATGACATCACACAAAAAAAAACCCATAAGAATACAAAATATTTTCACCTTATTAATATTAATCATTATATATATAACTATGAGCACAAACGACAAATGATATCTTTGTAACAAACGATAGATGACAACTTTGTACTCCTTTTCCCTCCACTATAAGGTAAATTCGAAAAGAACCGATGTTCTAAATGGTTTCTAAATAAATAAAATAGAAAACTGTTTACACCAAGATTTTGAAACCCTACATATCATTTGCAAAGAGATTTGCTCATTGGTGCTTAGCTGTTTCTTCTATGGATCCCAAATACTGTGAACTATTCACAGAAACATACAAAGTCGACGAAATATATCAAAACTAACAAAATCTATATGGTAAATTGACGAAAGATAATGAAGGAGATGTTTAGCTCTGTAAAAAAGTGTTTAGGTAACATTCGAAGTAAAAAAGAAAATCATCCTCTGATTCTCGCTTTCTTTCCTGATTGTTCGCAAAAGTATGATTAACTAAGATGTTCTCTGAAACATGTTGCATAGGTAATGCAATAGCTTTGAGCATTTGTTTTCAACAATGACCGCATTTTCACAAGTTAGTAACATGAAATTCACACATGAAAATCTAAGATGATGAAGGCTGGCTTGATTTTTCCAGTTTGGCGAGCTGATTTCTACAAAACTGCCATATTTGATGCAAACAGTGACGCGATCCCTCCAACCAGTATAATTTCAGGCAATGCTCGGAAGGATATATCACTAAACGAAAACGAATCAATGGCTGCAATTCACTATCCAGTGGCATGTAAGCCTGAAAATTGAGGACTAATTCGCTCATAAGAAGTAATACAAAAGCAAATAATTAACTCAACAAACTTGAAACTAACTTGTATGGATACATCACGTGTATCCTCATTTTTCCTGCTTCCACTAAATACTGTACACTCCGCGAAATTCCCAGCATTGCTATAACTGTCTCTGCCGTCACCGCTACCCAAATTGACTGTGCAACCAATATCTGCTCGACCATGACAGTGTCGTTTGTTCAAAGATGGGCAAACGATTCTTTCTGCACGACGTTTCTGTCGCTGCTGTGACCAAGTGTTCTTGACAGCTTCACATAAAAAGCTATTACCATCTTGTTTCTCACAAGACATCTACAATAATGATGTTTAAAAAGAGGTGCACTGGGACGAAATCATTCTATTTCTATTCATTACTTCAATCATGACATTGATTTATCTCAGTTCCACTTTGTCTACGATAATTTGGACTATTTCATTACTGAGGACAGTGCAACGAGCCAGAGAGCCAAATATGATTTAGTATCTGAAACTAGACAGTACGTCATCGAACGGTTGTTGGAATCACCAACATCCCAATGCAGTCAAAAAACTTGAAATCAGGGAACATACCTCCAATACACCAAGTACTTTTCTTATCCAAGCAAATGAACTTTCTTTACCATCCAAGACTGATGGCAAACAAAGCTCCAGTGGCGGTGAACATTTCATCAACTAAAAATTCATCAAATATTACAAGTCTGAAAATGCACTACCACGTAATCGAAAAATATAAGCCAAATCTAACTTTATCCAGTTTTATTCGAGCTTCAAAAGTCCAAGCAAGCACCCAACGGTGTGTTTTTCCTTGATACAGTGTCGTCACTGTTGAACGTACACTTAAACAGCGTCCTAATTTCTTTCGCAGCTCAACAAGGCTTGATTTCTTGCCAACCATTGATGTATATAGCCTATAAAAGAAAAAATCAAGTGTTTAAAGAAGCTAAAAACAAAGAAATATATTAGAAGATACAATAGCGATAACTTACTTCACAGTATTTTGCAAAACGAAGCTATCTTCAATCAAACGAGAAACAAATGCAACTTCCCCGCCCTGAAATACAATCTATTTCAACAATGATTTTTTTAATAATAGTATTAAAAGCCGAAATAAATCTTACATTATGATTCCTTCAATTTTTAACCCTCAGCTTGATGTTTCAGTTGTCTCCAAAAAGTAAAAGAACGTACTGAAGGTTAAAAAATAAAGAATGTGAATCAATTTCAACATGATTTTGCTAAGCAAGATTAAACCAAGCTTTTCTAAATCTCGTGTAAAATTATATACCATAACAGCCAATTCGTTACTCCGAGCAACAGTGGCTGAGTGAGGTGCTGGACGAACCGCACCGTTCGATCCACCACCACTATTTGTCAACACATTATCTCTTAAGTATCTGAACTTCTGCAAAGAAAGAATTTTTATTAAGAGAACCATTAAAATTTTTATGCCAATGAAAACACATACCTCTTCAAATTCATCATATTCATAAAACGGAGGATTACACATGCAGAATGTGAATTCGGTTTCTGGATGAGAACGAACAACATTCTGAAAGGTTCACGTTTCAAATCATGCCCAATTTGGTTGCAAAATGTTAAGCTAAACAAAACTGGTACCTTAATCATACAGTCCGCTGGTACTCGCACAACCTCGATTCTTTCGGTCATACCATTTTTCTCTACATTTTGACTTGCGATCTAAAACGGATAAAAAGACCCCTCATCAGGATCAATGGATTTCAATTTTTGAATTTTTATGACATTGCATACCTCAACCGCAAAAGCATCTGCATCGGTTGCCACAAATCTCCAACCAAATTGTTTAGCACCCAACAGTGCATATACGCAAGATGCACCAGTCCCTGAACTTTTAGCAAGATAAATGAAAAAATTTAACTAAATTTAGCAAAGAAAAACCATTCTTTTGAAAAAAAGTTGTGACTACGAATCATCAACTACTGTTTTGAACTGACATCGCAGAAATCGGTTACACCGGGGTGAAGATATAGTCAAGCCCATAATTTTTTGATTAAAAACCTGATACAGAATAATGTAATAAAATTTTGCGAAAGCAGAAATGAAACAGGAATCCTCCAGTACTTGTGATAATCGAATGACTCATGCTTTCGATACGATTACCATAAATCTTTTGCATGTTTTCTTGAAGTCATCTGCAGGTCTTCACAGTTTAATCACACGTTTTCTACATGCGGATATTATATAACGTCATACTTAAAACACTTAGTCCTTTTCGGATTGAACAAAAAAACACCTACCAATATCGATGCCAACTGCATTCTCGGAAATGCCATTTGCTTTCAATAAATCATCAATGAAAAGAATATAATTAAGGCGCTGAGGTATACGTGGTACCAGACAGTCAGGGGGTATATTAACATCCAATCCAAAATCACTGCGTAGCAGAGTTCGAGCTAAAATCCGCACAGCATTCGTATCACGAAAATTCATTTTCAACTGAAAATGATAACTACGATGGCTCATAACAACAAGGATCAAGTGTTTATAAAAAAGGGAGAACTGTGCTTACAAATTATCATATTTAAAGGATAGCATAAATAAAGTCGCCAACAATTACCTGGAAATCCTCCCAAAGTTAATCAAAAAGTCCGTAATACGTTCACATAATATGTGTTATACTATCACGACAAAAATTTTACCTTTCCATTAGAGCCGACATAGCAGTGTGATCGAAACTCAACGAATTTATCAGCAAGCAAACTAAAATCCGGAGGCTTATCCTTGTATGGATTTCTTGGGTGCATCTTTTCATTGACTGGCATGCTATTTGCACTCCTCGTTTTCTGCCTGAAATACTTTGCTGTTTGAGCCAAAAGAAATCAGAAGAAATCCTTCAACCCCTTCATCTAGACGATTCGAACTCCCAACATCGCGTACTGAAACTGCCACAGAATGAGCTCAAATGACGCCAAAGAGTGTTGGTCCCACAATGCAACAACACTATTCTATAGAAATATTAGAGAGAAAACAAGTTGGATGGTTTCAATGAGTGGATGAGTAATATAAGTACATTTGATAAAACAGATGAGGAAGAGGTAAAACATAAATATATCAAACATATCGATGATTAATGTGTCCCGTGATGAACAGCTTAAGCAATGCTGAGAGAGAGAGAGAGGTATTTCCGTTTAATTTCAAATCACAGATTGGAGACTTTACTCGATCATCTTTCAGCACCCAGGCTGAACATGCAATGGGATTTGTTGCAAAACCAAGAGAATCTCTCAGTTTACTTCTTATACGTATACATAAGACTTAATTGTGTATGACAAGCAAGCTGTCATTGAATATTGATTGTTAATTGAAGATAGTCATGAAATTGTTAAGCAAATTACTGGATTAAAAAATGGAAAATTCAGTACAAAAGATATAGGCAATATTTCGGATGCAAACTCATAATCCTTGTAAAAATGTCTTGGTATTCTTCACTCATGAAACCTCGGTATTTTTCAATTATGAAACAAACGATAATAACAACCGGTCTATTCTGGCTTCTTCTACTCTGTAATTCAAAATTTTCGCTTCATTTTATCTCTATATTTAGGTTTAGAAAAAAATGCTCTCGTTTTGCAGGTTTTTCACATTTCCCATCCAAATATTTACAAAATCGAACCATTTTGTGTTCATTTTAAAGGCATTAACTTGGAATTCATTTCTCCTGTCTGTAATGAGTACTGCGACAGCATCACCATATTATTTTTGTTGTCATGCATACTTCTTGGGATCTTACATTTCTGACAGTGTGGATGATCATTATAGAATGTCAAAAAATCATCAATTAACCCTCAAATAATTTACATTCAGGCAGTGTAATTAGCGACACATCCGGATTCGAATTTCAAGCAAAACGAAGAAAAAAACCGTTTGCAGGAAGTACGCGGATTTTTCGTCACAACCAAGTTATTTTTGAAATCAGATAATTACATTTCTAAATGAACAAGTACAACAACGGATATTAGTTGCAGAGTTGGACCGCAGCGTGTCGCTGATGAGACGATTTCACACCTTACCGAAAATACCACATATACCAGATGCGAAACATCGTCGACAGCAAACGGGCGATTTACAGACCAATTTCGATCCATGTAAAATTACACAGCTTTGCCAAAATGGTGGTACATGCGTGTCAAAAAAAGGAGCGTAAGATTTTTTTTCCAAAATTAATCCATTTCATCTTTTCTTACACCCATGAATATCTGTAATCCATCAGTGATGCCCAACTAAAGACGGAGTTCATGCATGAAAGAGGTTTTATCGGTGATTTTCCCCTTGCAAAATACCAAAATTTTAGAAATTTTTATCGCTTAAACTATTTAAGTATTTTTATAGCAAAGATTACGTGAGCTTCCCACTGACATTCTACCATCCAAAGATAAAAAAGATATGATAAAGTTGAATAATGAGTGATTATACCATAAGGAACAATGGTATTCTGGTCCGGTGATTTTTTTTAATAAAAAATTGCTCCTAAATATGACTTTCCCTTCGTGTTCTGAAATTTCCTTTTTATGGGAACTCGTATTTTGCAAGTTCTAACTCCCATATTTTTATGAAATAAGATATGCCACATTTCTAGATTGGGAAGGACTAATACATCTGATTTAGCCGTTTCGATTAGTGTTGCATCCCAGTAGCTGCACAGCTGGAACTATTCTATTAACGGAATTACACTATTCATAAGTGCAAAACTACCTGCAAATTATTCATCCAAGATTTGTTCTCAATGTACTTACTTCTTAACTTCACCTGTACTATCAAATTATCGTAAGCGTGCATGAGATGTAGTGGATTTCCGAAAGTATAATAGTTTATAATTACTACTACTTAAAATATTGATGTCAATTTAGTTATTACTGTCAGTGCCTTCCAACTCATTATGGCAAAACCTGCGAATTTTTGGCCAACCAAACAAGCTGCGAGAAAAATTTATGTCAGAACGATGCGACATGTTACAGGTAATGTAGGGAAACCCGTAGGAAAAACCTGATCAGAAATTAGTTGCTCTCTTCTCAATGATTTTCGTCCTGCCCTGTGGGATGAGAGTACTTGGAAAACGATCGACAGATTTTACTATCAGCAACAGTGCGCTTCGCTTACAGTATCCAACAAAAGCGTCAGATCGTGACTACTATTGGAAAAAGCGAAACAATGCAAAATTTTACTGATACAAAAGTGATGCAGTGGGTTCGATATGAGTATGTTTATTCTATGCATAGACAGTTAACCGGATATCTTTAAGGTTTCATTTCAGGAATAGTGTTTATTTCCTTCTGAATAAATTCTATGAAGTCCTTTGAATAAATCTTCTGTTCAGATGCTGGTGCCGAGAGGGTTTCACGGGTTCACTGTGTGAATATTCGGAAGAATTGCGCGAATGTGAACAGGATTATTGCCTACATAAAGGAGTGGGCAAATTCGTGAACATGACGGATGGTACCGTAGAATGTGATTGCCAGTGTCAAGAGCATCATACTGGAAAAAGAGTACATCACACTTTCACAACTCACCTTTTCAACCTTTACCTTCCTTTATTTTCCATCAAGTGATTCTGACAAGATTATCTTTTCAGTGATTCCAAATTCTAAACATTCCTATCCAACAATTTGTTCTGCTCAGATTGTTTCTTGTCAAATGCATCAACACCACAGTGACATTCCGTTAGCCAGTATCTTTGCTTGCAGTGTGAAATCGTTTTGCCGTGTAAGGATTACATTTGTTTCAACGGTGGTATCTGTGTGGACGAACTTCTCCTGAATAGTACTGATGGAGAAGTGACCTACAAAGCCAGATGCAATTGTCCGCCACGTAATGTTTATGGAGTGGTTGCCAACTTTGAAGGTATTGAATATATGCATTTTAGCTACAAATACATCAATCTTCATACTTTCTGAAGAGATAGTTCATTATGCTGATATGAAATATCTCTCTTTGAATGTTGTAAGTTAACTAACTGTTAGATGACATGTCGTGAAGTGTACCCACGATCCTTTTAGGTGAACAATGCGAACGATTGACGGTTGTCGATAATGAAAGGGTCTATGACGAATGCTTCCCGTGCCGAAAGAACGCGAGGGATTATGCAGCTGATTGTCTGGACGAGTATACTCAGAATGCGACACTGCGATATATGGAAGAGGTACGATGGGTATGATCTCATGTATGTGTTACATGCTCCTCCATCAGTTACGTTTGGTATATGTATCTGCATTATAAAAGTACTGCTCCACAAATTCATTCTTCAGGTTCTTGAAGCTTGCGGTAAACCATGCGAATCAGCAGCACGATTTTGTCTCAACGGAGGTTTATGCGATGTCGAAGGGCGTCTTAGTAACAGATTTTTTTTATAATTGTGAAGAGGGAAAGAGAGAGAAGTAAGGAATATGATAAGAGTTTATTCTCTTAACTATTCCAGTTCTCCTATGGTCTAAAAACTACAGGTTACATGGTACGCCGGAAAAGTAGGCGAATGCGTTTCCTACGATGACGGTTAATACATTTTTCCCGCTCCTTTCTTCCTTCTACTTTCATCTCGAAGAACAATTTACTTGTAGGAATATGTTTTAGGCGACGACAACACATCTTATATAATTCCTGTTTGTCAATGCGTTGGTTTAGATGAAGGAATTCTTTGTGAAAGACATGTAAACTCGCCATGCGATGCAACTGCGTATGATCCACGTACGCCCGGTAAGATAATGACTAGAAGCTTTTTTTAGCGTTATATGAATATTTTGCAGAAGAAAAATGTGGCGAGCACGGGGCCTGTGTTGGCAAGACGATGCACGACTACGTATGCGAGTATGATTTCAAACTTTTTCCTACATCAGTTTAAGCTTGTACTGGTGTTATCGCAGCACTTCATCCAAATCCTATTACTGTCTGAAATGATTCCGGGAAACCATTCATCCAAACTCTGCAAAGGTACATGAAGAGCCATACAAATTGAAGCTGTTATGGTGGTTGGACCGGGGAAAAGTGTGACATCGAAGAACCATGCTACAACAACGCTTGTTCACCTGGTAGTCTGTGTGTTTCGGTACCGATCGAACAGCGTGAGAAATATACCTTGGGCTATACCTGTTTGTGTGAGATAAATCAGGATCCCGACTTCACTGGCTCCAACAATAGTACGGTTGCAAGTTGTATCATTATCGGAATAACAATCCCTACTGGATTTATGTAATTTTTTGAAAAAAGTGTAGGAAAATACTACCTCCACCGTCTTTTTGAAATTTATTTCAGTATAGACTGTCTTTCTTCCTTCACCTAATTCGAAATTGAAAGAAAAAAGAAACTGATTAATAAAAAGACAAGAACATTCCCCTGCTTTCCTACTTGATTTCAGCGGTCAAGTGCATAAAAACTGATTTTGGCATATGTACCAATCACATGTGCAAGAACGACGGTCTTTGCTACCCCTGCAATACATCGGACCTCAACAATTTACAGCTTTGCTCTGGGGAAGAGAAGCGTCGTGGATTCAGGTTCACATTCATATAATTTTATTTTCAATTTCTCTGTACTTTGGAAGCATTTTAGATTTGCTTGCTCAGCACTTCAAGTAGAATCAATCACCTGCGCTATTACGGCAGGTACACTTATCTAATTGCGTCCAATTGAAATAGGTGTTTATGTCCACATGGTCTACTATCCCCATTTTGCGAGAAAGAAGCAGATGCATGTGATCGAAACAAATGTCAGAATGGAGCAGAGTGCGTCGTCGATCGAGAAAACGAATTTAATTATATGTAAAGAAATCGTTTTCTTTATTGCATTCCTAAACGATGAACAAATTCTATATGGCAAATGCTTGCTTCTCTTAACGTCCCATAAAAGGCAATCCGAGGTAATAATTTTCGGTAAATGTTTCAGATGTCGCTGCCGCCTTGGCTTCAGTGGTACATTTTGCGAACAACAGTTATCTCCGTGTATAATGCAAGGTGAGAAAATAGATCGAGGATAGGGGAGATAAACTGGGAAAGCGTTTAAGTTGTGGTAGTTGACTTCTGAGATTGTCATTCTTCCGACAAAAGTATAAGAAACTAGGAGTAATTAATGTCTAGATTAGGCGTTAATGTTGTCAGCTAGAATCTATCATTGATGAGAACATCGATGACTTTTAAAGGAAGCACCTCACGTTTTCTTAATAAAGAGTCACTGTTACTCTTGGTTAGTTCAACCTGCTTCTAAACATACAATATTGCAGGTTTACAAACTTGTATGATGGGTACTTGTATACAAGACACCAGTTTTGTGCGCAGTTTCCGGTGCGAATGTATTGATGGCTACGAGGGCGTCAATTGCGATTCACCCAAGAGAACTGATGTTGCGGGCTTCATTCGCGTATGCTTCTCCTGACAGTTACCGATGCGATGTAGAACTGCGTTTCTGCATTCTGTTAATGACGAACAGTACAGCTTGGCATCATACCTTGTTACGCATAGTTTGGAGCACCGAAAACTTTAACGAAAATATCGTTGGGACGTTGTCTGATTAAAAGTGCCTAGAAATAGAATCTTTTAGATGTATCAATGAACTTTAGCACCTCTAGAGAAATTATTGGTGGACATATCCGTTGATCGTTGGACTATTCCTTACACCAGTGGTTATTATTCTTATTATTTTATCGGAAGACCGTGCTAAGCGAGAGTACGAGTACAAATTAACCGAGAAGCAGTGCCTGGAAGTAAGTTATACCACTTAACGTTGAAGATGCACAATTCAGGTGTACAGCATAGTTCAGTGATTGATGCTGTTCAGTCTGTACTGTTTTCTAATCTACCCAGTGATGTAAAATTGAAAGGATCCTTTGTTCTACTATATTTTTAGGGCTTCACCATATTTTCTTTGCGAAGCCTCCTCAGAGTGAAACGTTTAGTGCGATGACCGGCTTTCTAAAATGAGGTAGAACGTGGCTACCTTATCCCTTTCTATTGCTCACTTTATCATTTTCTCAGCTTATCGATTTTTATTGTAAACTGTTAAATATGGATGTTACATATGGCATTTAGAAGGCTAAAGAGCGTCAGAAAAAGACAAATGAAGAAAAAAACATGTGTTTTGGAACTGCAGAAACGCAGACAATGAGTAATGGGACCGAGAACAGTAGCAGCAGCACTGGAGGATAACAATTCAAAGTCAAGATGAGTCATAGTAACTCTAACAGAAACGGTTATATGACATCTCAGCATTGTTTTTCCGCTTACTGCGTTTCTTTCAAACACACAACACTTTCAAAGCAAATGGTACATGCTGTAACAGCACATCCACAAAACTCTTTATCGTATGATAATACTACTGTGAACGGTGAACGCAAAAGTGAACGGTGCTAGCAGCGAGTGGTTTCGATCCACCGACCTCTGGGTTATGGGCCCAGCACGCTTCCACTGCGCCACGCTGCTGTTACAATCATCCGATAAAACATTACCCTTGTAGTTAAGATTGCACGAAATTATGGAGTAACTACAACTAGTCAAATTCAGAAATGGTCCTAACACATTGCTGAAAATGATTTTTGGGACATTTTTCTACAACCAATTTATTGAACATCAGATTTATGTGAAACATGTACTAGTTCCATGCATTAGTTAGAGGGAAAGCATAGAAATTCGTATGGTAAATATACGAATATGAGCTAAGCGGAATCTCATCACCAGCCATGTAATTACCTTAGCAGTTATTCGTATTGTCAAATAGGAAAGAATTCATGCATAATCAACATGAAATCAGAGGTACATCACGTAGCCATAAAATGTTTTAGAATTCCAATGCCACGATCAATAGCTTCGTATAGTTTCATTACTTCTTCCACATTTTCGCAACTTTTCAGTCTTTCTGCGCACCACTTTAATTTATCCTCGACCGCCTCTACTGCCGTCTTAACATTTCTGGATCCAAGGAACTCAGCATGCTGGAAAGTGCAAAGAGCAGCATGTACACATTTCTTTAAATGGCAAATAAACTATGGTAAATGATACAGTAAAGAGAACATACTGGTGATATGCCATCTTCTACAGGGAGTTGACGACTGCGGAGAGTTCGTACAGAGGAACCTCTTTCAACTGGCGAGTACTAAAAAAAAGCGATTGTTTGGAAAAAGTACATGGCTATTTATTTATAATAACGAAGACGGATGATATACCTGCATAATATTTTTTGTGATGCTAAATCAGATACGGAATCCAACTAGGAATTACTACTGAAAGTCAGAACATCCGTTAGTTTTCCGCAGAAAAATAAATTATAAGCTATTTGATACCGAAGATCTTGCTGGAGAATCTGCTGAAAGTAATTGCGCTGGTGATTGCAAAACTATACTACTTCCACTCATGTTGCTGTGTCCAATCACAATATCATTCAAATTGTTCGGGTCATCTGAAATTGACTCATAGATTTACTATACTACTAAAACTAGGACTCTGAAAATATCTCATGCATTTATTGTCTTCCAATAAACGATAAAGGCTTGAAGAAAAAAGGATATGCGGGATGTACCGTTATTTGGAACGGGAGTCCTGTCGTTCTGTCCTCTCGAAAGCTCTACATTCACCATATCGCAAGCAACGCAAGAGCGAACTCCTTGGCGGTTCTCCATCAAAATACCCTACGAACATTGGAATTCTACTAAATACGTTTATTACTAGCAATAATATTAATATCTAGAATCTCGTTTAAATAATGAAATTGTGCAGTAACCAGTGTACAAAAGCGCATATTGCCTCATGCCCATTTATCCATGGCATGCGCCAAGTGAAGTTGTAAGTCTTAAAGATAAAAATTATGAGGTTAAGTGAAATTTAATAAAAGCAAGGAATGTCATTCACTCAAGTATTTATTTTATGATTGCACTTCATGTATGAAAGAAGTACCTCCTATTGTTTGCTTATGGACTGAACTCACCGCACATAACTCGCAGTATTCGTTGAGCATAGTATGACCTAACAGAAGTAATTCGCCCATTCGCGATGATATACGGTCACGTAGACGACATCTTGTTTGTTCTAATAATTGTTTATGCTCCTGAAAAGGATAAATGGTACTTTCCAAGATTATCCTGAAATTAGGAGAGTTAGAACTCTTCGGTAATTAGGCAGCTTTTTCGTGCAAAAGCTATTTAATCAATAATTCTGGAATCATCTTGATTTGTCCTACAAGTGAGTTTTAGTGAACTGAAAAAATTGACCGACAGGATGACATGTCTACCTGTGTCACTCGCTGCAAGCCGTTCAAGTTCATTCCTTCAATTTGATCAGTGATATCAATTCCAGTTCCTAGTGATTTGCTCTTTGAAATGATATCGAACTGATGGTGACCCATATAATTCTGCAAATGCACGAAAGGGAGATGGAGACAAGTGGAAGGGACTGAGATCAATTAGGGTCTATGATAACTACGAGGAGGAGCGGTTAGCACTTTATCCAAATGCATATACTTCAGATGATCTTTTTACTGTACTATTCCAAGAATGAGATAGCGAAAGGTTAGAAATCCCCAGTATTTGCTGTAAAAACAACGCGGAGAACGGCCCCCGTGAGCGTCCCAAAGGTAGAGCTAAGTTATACCGAGGCCTAAGTGTCGAAATGCTAAAAATCGACCGCGTGTAGTGTTTCTTTAGCAATGTTATCTCATCGTCATTTGTCATCTCTGATGTATAGTATTCTTTCATGGACAATTCTTTTCCTTTCCAAAATTGGAAGGAAAAATTGTGGGGTTTTGAAAAGTCGTCTCTGATTGCAGTTTGTGAATACAAGTCGGGGCTCTTCCCTTTCGATGTATTGAATTCTTAAGAGCGTAGAGAGTGCAGAAAGATAGTGTGGGGAAAGAGAGTCGCAACTCTAAGCGGTGTAAATCGTGTAACCCTGATAAATGCAGTATGAGTATTTGTTTGAATAAGCAGAGTTGGAGGGAATATCTATCAGTACCTTCAGGTACTCTTCCTTGGAATCAGAAGTCATTATTGTTTTATATGAAAAACCGTTTTGTACTCAGGTGAGCTAAACAGTTATCAATTGTTTAATAGGATTAATACGGTTGGTGTTGCGTGTTAATTGCTGCTTTCTTGTCTCTATCCATTTTCCGGTCATTCATACATTTCTGAACTCTCGTACGGATCATATCCGGAGCAGTGCTTAATCTTCATCTTTAATTATAGGAATAACTTCGTATCATGGATACTACGGGTTTAACGAGCCCTACACAGAGTTCCCAGTCTGTTCGAACTCATGAGAATTTCTGCACACAGTTCTCTGCTCAAGTTGAAAAATATGTTGCGGGTGGATGCCCTCAAAACAACGAAAAGTATGTACAACAAATAACCAAGATTCTATCACAGTTATCGGAGAAGCGTCGTTGGGTAAGTTACCTCTTTCAGGGTATTTTCTTTTAGCTAATGGTACTTGTGAGAGATAAAGAGGAGATTCTGGAGGTTTCCTTTGATTCGGATGTAAAGAGATTTCATTTCAGCAGAATTTCACCAACTTTGTTAAGCAGCAATGCGAAAAGGATAGAGGAGAACTGTTTTCCAACTTTGTTAAAAGTTGGTATACTGCCATAGGTCATTTGAGTGCCGGAACGAATCACGTCTTACCAATGTTATTACTGGTTATGGAAATTATGAAAGCTGATAATCTTGGATATGAATCTGTTATGATCCTATACAGTGTGCTTGAAGAACAGGTCATACTTTCTGCGTATTATCAAATAGTGGAAGAGAGATATTCGTTTCGGATGGTAGTGGAATGTAGAATTTGCAACATGAGAAAGAATGAAGATCCTATAAACTTTCAAATCATGTTAATTCATTATGATGTTTGGCCCTGGGAAATGAAGCCTTAATGCTGAATGCAGCATGGAACATAAAATTGTTTTTAGTTACAAAACTTTTACAAAATTTATATAGGTTTCTTAATTATCTCTTCGTAATATCCGTTATTAATTTGTCTCATTCTAAGTTTATCTCATTCATCGTAATATCTGTTATTAGTTCACCTCATTCTAAAGTACTTCTGGGATTGCAACTTGTAAATTAATGGATACAGCCAACCAAATTTTCGAGATTTCAATGTTATTTAGTAGAATGATATTTAGTAGTTAGAAGGCAGAACGCTATTACAGATGTCTATCAATATCAGCGTTTTTTCAGATAGATAAAATGAGTGGAAATGATACAAAAGTTTTTGGTACGTATATTGCGGAAAATTTCATGGATGGATGCATATTGAAAAAAAGGTTTCCACTCTATATATCGTGCAACTTTATCATACAACATCAGGAGTTGCTGAATGAGGGAGAACTCATGGAAACTGAAAATTTAATTTTTTGGCGTAGAGTACTGATATTTCAGCTGGTTGCGCGCCACAACCATATTTCTTCAGTATATGGTGAAGCCAAAAGATAAGTTTATTGAGTGGAATGGGAATATTGTTGATTGTGTGGAATATCGTGTCGCTTTTTTGCTGAAACTGCTAGGTGATATTGTAAGCTGCAATTCATTAAAAGAACTCGTCGTTGTGCTGAGGTAAAATTATTTTGTCGATTTAGTTTTTATTTGCTGACATTGTTAATTCTGGATTGCATATTGTTGCATATTCGATATGATGTTGCAGAAAATGTTCCCTGTATGAGATTCTTAGCTTATTTCTGGAAGAATTGTTGCATACTGAAGCGACACCAGAAATCTGTTTAAAATTGATTGTCATGCTTCCTGATGCAATTAACTGGAAAGGCGAACAGGTAATTTTTTGCATCGAGTTCTTTTTCGTTCTAATTTCATTGGAAAATGAAAGGAAGAGCATGCACAGATTTGAGTGATTTTGTGTTCTGGCCACACTTTTGTGACAGTAAAATTGATAATGTTGGAAGCAGCTTTAAATTGCGAGTTTTTCGAATACGTTAAGGTATGTGATCATTTGTTGATGAAAGCGGATTTTCCATTCGAGGATCTGTACGCATTGTCGATTGAACTTCATGAACTGTTCGAGTTTAGCGTCACCATCCCAAAATTATTCCTTGCTCGATTGAAGGTTAAATATTTTCGAAACGTTATTAAAGGTTAAATATTTTCAAAATATCTAATTCTTTTATAAATCTAGGCTTGCTGTATCTTAATAACAATGCATGATGACTCACAGATAGCTTTCTCACCTCCTCCGGGAATACGTATAACATTTCAGCACCATCGGCAACTTGTGTCATGCAATAAATTTGCAATGATATGCCTACTCTCGCTGTGTAATATAACACGATATTATTCGGTGAGTATGGCAGAGCTGAAGCAGAATATCGTGAAACTGCAGAAACATTGTAATCGATTGAAAAGAAGTTCTTGGATTCGTGATGTTATGGGCGACTGTGATGTGGAAACTTTGAAAGGCAATTTAGATGCCATTGTTGAAGCTGCAGTTAGTGATACCAAGTGGTATTCCATTATTGGCAGTACACTTGAACAAGTTGCGCTCATGCTGTTGTTGGATAAATGCAATAATGAAATTAAGTTCTCGGATGGCAGGTAAACAACGTTTTAATAGGTATGCAGATGTGAGTCCATTCTTTATAATCATGTTAATAAAGTTTTGAAAGCTATTCATTTTTTACTTCATTTGACTGGTATCGAAGTTTTATTGTGCATTTCCAAAACTTTTTTTCTTCCGAAACATGGGGCAGAAAAACAACACAAAGTTCTACATTAGGACATATTTTATAATAGATATGTTGGCAGGAGAGTTCAAGCAAAGCAAGAATACTATTAAAGCATGTGATTGGTGATAACACTGTATTCCTCATCGAATCAAATGTTTGCTCTCCTACGAATAAGTTTAAACAGAAGGATCGTTTACTGAATAAAGAGGAAGGAAGATCATTTTATTGCAGGATTCTCAACTCACATGTTGTTTTCTTGTCTTACATTAAAAAGTTTCTTTTCATGCACCATTTTTGAGAATTTATATTCTCAGCTAAACATTTATTTTCCTGACACAGAGCCCTTTAGCTGAGCTGCTTTCCTCTTTGTTAGTTTTATGTTCTAGCCATTGTGTTTCTCTTTTATCAAAACTGTATATTGTGCTTTAGAATTGTGAACGATGCAGACACTGTATCAATGGGCAAATCAATATTGGTCTCACTAGCGAGAATAGATGTGGCATCCGTAGGCCAGTTGCTAGAAAGGATCCTTACAGTATTGTTTACATGTGTTAAGCGGAACTCTGCACTTATTCTGATTGGTAACTTATGGTTTTTGTAAGACGGTGATTGTCTTTGAGTAATTTATATGATTCCTGTATCAGTATCACCATTATTGGATCTAAATTAAAATAATTGTTCGATTCATAACATGGTCAAGCATCACTATCATTTGCGGTTGTTAGTGTTATTCCAGATACGATTGTTGATATTGTGTCGAAACAGACAGTGCATGTATTGAATGCTTGGAAATCACTGCGATCCTGGGTGGACAGTATATGCGACCTCAAGGAGGTGACCACTGTGATTTTTTTGCATTCACAGCTTTTTCAAACTTCATCTTCCAGAAAAGATATTATTTTGATTTTAAACACTTCATAACTCCATTCACTTCTAGAGATATGAAATGAACTAATGGTAGTGGCAAATTTTCATTTTAAAGGATATTGCCGTTTCACTGGTGCGCGCTTTATTGCCAGTTATTATATTACGCCCGCAGTTAATTGCCATTATACTCAGTAAGATGAAAAAACATGTACTATGTGACTCAACAGTTGCTATAGTTTTACCGATATTGCTTCTCCTTCTGCGGTCGTCGACAATGCGTTCGGCTGTAAAAAGTGATTATTACAGTCAATCTTTCGCTACTTTCTCTACTCAGGTAAGTTCTAGAAAAGCTCGCAATAACATAGGTAACAATCCATTTCTTTCATGTTATATCAATTCTTCTTAACTCATATACGCTTTTTTTTCTTATTGTTGGATACTTCATTTTAGGCTCTACAAAATATGGGTGTTGAAACGAAAAACACAAATGCGGAGCTTTCGCTAGAAATTATTGGAATTTTGAAGCGAACTTTTTCGCAGCCTGCAAATGTTAAAAGCATGTTGTACAGGCATGTTTTTTGAGTTGTTAGCACATACTTAAAGATGTAACTGTATATATATATATATATATATATATATACATATATATATACTTATATATATATGTACTTATAAATAGTCAAAAACAGAAATAACTGCAAACTGGTGCTACCCTAGTCTCTTTTCCACTTTTGTTGCATGGCTAGATCTGATGTGCATTTATGGTGCTCTGATTGATGAGCTTATTCTAGTAATTCTCTAAAATCATGTAAACATGCAGTGCCAAAAGTTTTCATTGCATTTACTCAAAACATGTTTGTATTTTCAGAGGTATTGTTGAAGCAGCAGCTGCCAATCAGAATTTAGTGTACCCTGCTTTGGATCTTCTAGTAACACATCTTGTAACTCTGCAGCAAATATCTCGCTGTACTTACATTGAATCTTCGAAGTTTTCTACTGTTCTACTTGAACCCTTGTCTGATTTAGTCCAGGTTATTATGCACATTCAGATTTATATGATAAAAATCCATTTATTTCATGTAGTATCAGTTCTTCTTTACTCATATACGTACTGCTTTAGTATAATTTATTCTGCTTAAATTATAGGCTGTAAGCTTACTGATGCGTTTATTGATATATAGTTTACGAAACACATCGACTCAAGTTGTATGCAGCAAAGATGCAAAAGTATGCCAGGCTATGTCCGAATTGGATAAGCTTACTGAATTCACTATAGACCGAGATGTACATGACTTACAGGTTACTTTATCATATTGTAGTTTTTCACTTTAAAATTCGGAGTTTTATTATTATTTCTGATTGCTTTCGACAGAAGTCAAGTCTCTTAACTTCTGTCTCAGTCATTGGAATAGATTTTTTATTTGAACTACTGAGGGAGTGATAGAGAAGTTTTTCCTTTGTAGTTGGATAAGCTTTCGGATTTTTCATTTTCTGTTGCTGGTCGCACGAATCTGAGCTTTGCATCACTGATGATTTCCGTCTACGACGCTCTTATCGAACACCTGTGGAATGTAAACAATGTGCTTACCAGGTATGAATATTGTTATTACGTACAGTGGAGTGCAAGTGAAAACATTTTACATTTAGCTGTACTCTTTATAGGAGAGAAGAAGCGGAAAAAGTGCTGGCGTTGTTACGTAGACGTGAGGAACTGAACGAAGTTTTGAAGGAGAAATTGGTAAAAAAGAAAGAGAGTAAGGGAGAGAAAGTGACTGTCGCTTATTCGTCTACTGTACCTTATCTACAATCCATAACAAGCATGATTTCACGATTCATTCAGTTAGCTGCAACTTTTTGTTTTCCATAGTCTTTGAGAGATTATAATACTATCAACTGCATCTTTCACAAAAGCTAAACTTGGTAGCTCATGATAGATGAGAATGGCAATATTTGGTAGTACTGAAACACATTAGGATGCCATTGCTTTGGTCAATTAAGACTGCCTAATCAAATCACAAGAGCTCTCATTCAGCTGGTAAATTAGTTGAAAAGGCTACCGGTATCGTAAGCTTTTTTTGAAGTCGATGCAGGAATGCATAGGTAATGTTATCTAGGTACTGCTATGAGATTCGCTAAGATGTTTGACCAGGTAGTATTAGCAAATTCTCGAGACTAGAATCTTGAATATTGCATGATAATTCCGATCGGTTTTGTTGCGCCATATCTTCCAAGTGATATGTAATATTGACGACATTCTTCTCACCGCATACATAATTGATACAACTTTATTTGTGTATTTCCTTCGTGAAGTGTAAAATAATTGAGATCTATCATTGTGAGGAAAGATGTTCTGTGCAAATTTGTACAGTTCTAGGATTCTATTCTCTAGATAAATTCATTAAGAAAGGTTAATGAAGAAGGTGTCGATATAGACGAAGAATGCTTGCAACTTCTTCGTGAAAATGCGTTTGTGTGGGCAATGGATTGGGCACAGCGGATTTCCATTGATATAAATAAGTGTAATATTCGCACAACTTTTATCGCACTTTCCTCTTTTTCAAGGTTTGTTTATCAGCAACTTTCTTTTTTGAAATAATTGGCTTTAAAAGAGTTTGCTATGAAAAAGTGATGTTGTTGACCAGTTCATATTACCATATTTACAGGATCATGCTTCTTCTATACGTAGGTGGCAGTTTTGTTCATGAATCAGCTTCGTTTGAGTTATGGAATCACAAATGTACACAAGCTGTTGTGGCATTCTCCAATGTAATTTCGTTGATGGTTTCAAAATATGGTTTTCGTTGTGATGGCTTTCTTATGGAAATGTGTAAGTAATAGCTAGTTAGCAAATTTCATAGTATCATTTTCATAATTATGACGAATGGAATGATGTTGATTTTTGCTCGTTCAAGAATAATGGTCTCATTTTCTGAATTGATTAAAATTTCGGATTAGTAATTTTTACTTTTTATTTTCTTTCGTATTCCTTGTAGAGAAAGCAATTAGAAATTACGAGTTTATGAGTTCCTTTTTTAATTGATATGTTGGTGTGTTTGCGAGTTTTTTTTTTGATGTTTCTATGATCAAAATTTCGAATCACTGAAGTTTTTTCCAACAAATTGATTGAATATCAGTGTAGCCAAACCAAAATCAGCTTGCAGCCGTTATTGCCGAGCAAAAAATCACTAATTTTCTACTGAAATAAACGTCACTGAACACTGTCTATTTTTCACAATTCATTCAGGGCACATTTTGGAGAAATCGAACGAAGATCAAAGAAAACGTGAAAATGCTGCATCTTTGATGATTCAATTCATCTTATCAAATCTAATACCAAAATTGCTCGAGACTTATAAAGATTTTGAGGAACGAAAAATGACGTCAGATTTTACTCATCAAGCATTTGCACTCATTGCTACCTGCCGTGCATTATTTAAGCAAATATCAAATGAAAAGGCTCAACTGAAGTGTGCAAAGCTTACTCGCAACATATTGCAGAAAAATGAAATAGGTGAAACCTTTATGGATCTTACTCAGCATGCATTATATTTTGACAAACAAGCACCCATTCCTCGGATTCACTAACAATTATCAGATCTGTAGCTTGGGTCATTCACAAAATCGTTTCCTATTGGTGGAACACATGTTCTACCGATTGCACACTGGAAATGCAGGCATTCTGAAGGTAACTTAAATAATACCCGTCAAACCGTTCTCTTTAATTATGTGATGATTAAGCTGTGATAGCTATGTATCTTCAAACAAATTTCACTTTACATTACGGTTAAATATTTTTTAAATCCTTGTGATATTTTGCTTCAGGCGATAAAACTGTACTGAAAGAGATTTGGCATCTCTTTATGCATATCGAACGAGCTGGTAACTGTGGCATTCACTATACAAATTTTTTGCGCACTGCCGCCACTCAAATAATAACTATCCTGAGCAATAAGGAAAAAGTATATGAATTTTTAATAAATTACAGTTTTAATTGAATTGTGGAACAGCGCATTACCCTGGTTTATCATAATCATAATTCGTGTCTTTTTTTTTGAAAGTATTTTATTCTTTCTGTGTTCCGGTCAGGAATCGATTCATTTGTTGGCATCCATTAATGATATAACAGTGGAAACAAGTGCAGAAATGGTGGCTGCAGCTTGTTCAGCTTCTCTCTCAGATGCGCGTGTGACTACCGAAATGATGTCTCAGATTTTCATATCCTCAAGTTGGCAATTTTCATTTCAATTTCAGTTGAGCGGTTCCACGCACCATTTCAGATACTATCAAGACGTTTCATCTTATCTTTTTTATGACAAGGTTTTCTTTTAGTAGATGTTGGTCTCGTCAAAGTAATCGACTTCTGCAGCAGATTAGCGGATGTCGTTCTTCTACTGCTCTCAGTACACATTGATTATGCAGTGGCCAAAGAGCCGATTTGTGCGTTGTTAACTGCGCAATACGAGGCACTCAATGTGGTTGTTAAATTGGTTGGTTTCGATTTTTTTTTAAAGCCTTGAGGGTTCGAATCATATTATTTTAAAATCTTATAGCATACAGTTAAGAGTTTTTGTATTTTAGTGAAAATTGATATCTCTTTATTTCACCATACTCTATGCAATTTTAAGCAATGCGAAAAACTGGAAAAAATCTTTTCTTTTTTCCGACATTAATAGAAAAGCATTTTGGAGGAAGAATTTTTTAAAACTGACATTAGTATTATCGAAGAAAGTTCACGTTTTTTGAAAACTCTGTTCAATGTTCTAATGAAGAAAAGATCAAATAAATAAGGGATGTTGCAGATGCTGAAGACACATAAATATAGTGACATTTCGGAATGGACGGCTGTAACGAAATTAGCAAGTCTTGGTCACGGCACTATCCTCCGAATTATGGAGAACGCCGATGAAAATGTGGGAACACTGAATCCACTTGACGTATGTCATTCATTATCACAGTTTGCTTTCCTTTTCCTTTCCTTTTTTGTGGGTGTATAGTATAACTTCAATTCGAATAGATTCGCGCATTTACATGCTTGTTGAAGGAACCATCTCTTACTCATAATCGAAAGGTATTGAAGTCTCAGAAGGATGAAACGCTTTATGTCACTTATGTACGATCAAGAGAGCTTTATCAGGTTCGTTAATTTAATATTTTTGCTGTTCTTCTGACAGTAAGCGTTGCAGAACTACCCGAATATCTTTAACATCCACATTTTACTGCGTGCACTGTTAAAAAGATCGTTTTTATAGCGCTGCTGTATTCAGTGCGAAAATTATTTATTAGCAGTGATGCGGATTTGACAGTACCATATGTCTCACTACCATATGCTGCGGATCAGTTTTGATTAGAATTCTTGTTCAGAGCACAAAGATTGTGGTAGAGGATAGTCCTGGAAACGAATTATATGCAGTGGGTTGTTGGGAATAGAAGGAGCCAATTTGCTGATCTAATCCATCTATTTAAGGCCAATCTATTGCTGTTGTGCTCAGCCCTGCACGATCATCGACTAGACATACAAGTTAGGAACAATTCTATTGGTGTTCGAGACTTCCGTATAGATGCTGAAAAATTGCGACAACGAGTAGAGGAATTGGGTGAGGAAGGTGGAAATGAGGAACAGGTACGAAATGATCAACAAAAACCGGCTAAGAAACGCGCACGCATTGGGAAAGAAGATGCTATCAATGCTGAGAAGTGGTAATGCAAAAATCCTTACAGAAAAGGATAAATCACTGTACCTCTCTCTGTTTAGGCTGCTGTGGACCAAGTTGTTATTGTTATAAATTTATTATTTACTCATCCGTTTGGTTTTCAGTGTGAATAGCTAAGATTTGCTGCATTTATGTAAATATTGCAAGTGAAAGTAAAGTTATGTAAAACGATTTTTAAAATTAAGTTTTTTTGTCCCTCAAACGAATTTTTTATGATGCAGTAAGGTTGCTTAGATTCAAACTAAGCTGTATAATTTTTGATCCAACGGGATATTATTAAAAGGGAAAACAGAATAAGTAACGAAATTTATGCAAATAATAATGACAGGGGAACATATGCGCATCTATATTCGTCGATAGTTTTATTACTTTCCAAATTGTTTCCTGTAAAGAATTCATATACATAAATTTGAATCCACAAACAGAAACAGCAAATCCTAACAGTTTGTTTGAGGAACAATCCTTCATCAAACAGTAATTTCTTGCTAGTGAAGGGAAATAAGACAAAAGAAATACGGTATCGCAGAAAGCATACGTAAATGAGTGGTTGGATATCTGAAGAAGTTGTAAATATAGTAAGGACAAAAAGGGAACTTGAATAAGTTAATAGAGTTGTTTATCCATATATCATCAAATACGATAAGTAATTTCATAACTAGGATGGTAAGATGAAAGAAATAGCTGAGGATGGAATTAAATATGCTAATAATTGGAGGCGAGTTCGTGCTGGATCATCGAGTGACGTAATTACATTTGCATGCCATGGGAAATTCTGTCGCAGTATGAGATGTTTTACCAACTTTTTTGTACATAAGGACGGTTCAAAACTGTCACTCAGTAATTTCATTTGATTTATATTTCGAAATGTGAATGACGTTACAAATCAAATACCTTCACCGCGAAGCTAAAATAAGTGGAAATTGCCAACATGTTGAAATGAGGAGCACCATAATAGGTATAATAAGTGGACTTTACTCTTAAGAGATTCCTTAACAAAAAGCCTTGATTAGATTATGATAAAGCAGACTTCAAATGTGAAGACTGGATTTTTTTGGAACTATAATACTATTGTTCACAAAAGATAGGATCTGAAATTTCGAAGATGAATATATCATCTCTATATGTTCCACCATGATGTACCTGTGCTTCATCCTTTCATTATAAGTATAACTCTTTCTGCTTGAAAAATAGTTGATTTTTGTTCGTTTCTGACTATTTTCACTATTATCTGATCATTTCAGCAACATGGGAATAGTATGTTAGTTGTTCCGCCCATCGATGAATGCAGTGAAATTTATTCTGTCGTTTTTTTTGGAAAATTTAATTGAACTAAATTTTTTATTTGACAGATACCAACAAACTTCTATGAGAGCTGGCATTCCTGAACCTTGCAATCGAATATTCTTAAAAATAATTAATCCTTAATCAAAGAACTTCAAGTTTTCTTGCTTTACATAGCTTTAATTCACACACTCACCGATGTTTTTGCCCTATCCTGCCTATTTTCCCTATCTCAACTGCGTCGAAAATTACAATACATAGTATCTTAAAATAAGTTCGCATTAGCAAGACTGCTGACTTCAGCACTTCTTCCTTTAACGAGCTGATAAGGCTGGCTGAAATGGGGAAAATGGGAACTCGCCTCATCTCCCGGCCAAAATGGATTGATTCAAATGTAGTGGAAGACGCAATACCCTTATGTATTCCACTAGATTTGAATACGCAAAGGTAGGATCTAAATTCATTCCAGAGCATTTGGATAAAAGGCGCCACCTTTCCGAATGTCCGCAAATGAACTCCTTCATTTATATACACTCTTTCCATCTGGTTTGTAGACTCTTTTCATCTTTCCATTTGGATGCTAGAGAAAACGCATTAAACTGAAGTTATTACACGTGAGAACCATCTCATCAAGATTCTGAAAATTCTAACTGCTTGAGTTCAATAATCACAAAGCGGTAATCTGTGCAGCAAATCCCATTAGCCTTCTACCACTCCACAGTATAGGAAAACAAAAGACTTCTTTGATTGAGCTTTCGAAAATTCCTACAGCCTTGTTTGTTGTAGTGCAGCAACTAAATACGATGAATTTACTGTGATACATCTGTTTTGTAATATTTATACATTTCTAAATTACTTAAAAGTGAAAACAAAATGCACTAGTCCACCATATATGTAAGGCTTGCACAGGAAAATAGATTGGCCAGCACTGACTTGTGAACTTATATGGGTGTCAGTTTTCAGTTATAGATCTTATGCTTTATGTCCCATCTGTTCAA